AGCAAGCATTGTTTATTGTTTATTGACGGATTGATTTTATGTACCTGTTGCGGGGTAAGGTACAAATGAGAGGTGTGTATTTCTGGGCTGTGACTTCCCAAGGAACAATAATTCCTGACTAATCTGGCATAGTTCTATACCAGTACAACAAACATAGGTTGATGGGAACGTATTTGATGCTGTTGCAGTAATCAGTCTTAAGTGTGCCACAAGGCACTCGCTTTGTTCTCGCTGCAGTAGCTACCTATGTGTCATTTAATTTCTTTTTATATAGCTGTCTACTATGTGAAACATGGAATATGCATTTGTTCTTGAGGGTATTGGCTGTCAGAATTTGATATATGAATAGGTTACTTGGGCATTAATGATTGCAGAGCCCAAGAACCTGGAGCCAGGAAGTTCTTGATGGGATCTGATGAAAGGAGAGGCCTATTTAATTTTCACGACTGGAGCCTTCAGTCCTAAAAGGGGTGGTGGTAGCCTTTGCAGCATAGAAGCGGCACAGTCTTCTACTGGCTCTGGGGGATGAGGGTTGCAGGCAAATGGCTGTGTGCAGTGAGGCATAATTTTTTATATTGCCATCACAAGTCCTGTTCATTTCACTGATCACACAGACATCTGGTCTGTTGCTTATTGTAGGTTCAGTCTTTGGGGGGGGTGTCAAGTGCTGTGCCACTTTAGTTCAGTGCCACTTTAGTTCAGTGTAAGACTATAGGTATCATACACGACTTTCTGTCCTGAAAATAAAATATGCACAGTTAATAGAGAGGCATGCTTTATTTATTCAGCAGCTTTCTAAGAACTTAGAATGTTTTGGGGGGAGGACTGGATAATGGAAGGGTGTGTGTGTAGGACAAATATTGTCAGCTTTGTCTTGCAGGTGGATATGAAATACATCTGGTAAAGCAAGATAAGAATGCCAATCCCAAACTTTAGCCTACTTTTTTCCTACAACTAACTGTCATGGACCGTTAAAAGTGCTTTAGCTCTTGACTAATTTGCAAACTCAGCAAGAAAAGCTTAATGATATCATAGCTACCGCTAGAGGGCCATGCCTCTACCAGATGGTAAGATAGTGTAGCCCCAAAGATAGTGTTGCCCTCGGACTTTCCTGTCCATCCTTCCGCTGCTAATACTGTAGTTGGGTGGGGTGCCAACCATGCCTGTATAGACAGTTTTCAGCTTATAGCTTGTACTAGTACATATGTTGGAGTGATGTGTTTCCGTTGTGCAGTGTGGTACTTTCTACTGGACAGTGAGCTTTCCATATTCTCAAGCACATGTACTCTGGAGTAGTTATGATGGTGGAGAGGCTAATGCAATAAACCTTGGTGCTGATCATGGATGCAATTGGCTCCTAGTCTATTTAGGGCAGGGGTGTCGAACTCATTTGTTATGAAGGCTGGATCTAGCATAAATGAGAGCTTGTTGGGCTGGACGATGTGTGTCATAAAACATAATGCCAGGTAGCGGAGATATAAACTTTATAAAGGACACAAACACAAAGGATTTTTTTTTAACTTGAAATAAAAACACGCTTAAAACATTAGCACTCTTGCAATATTTTGTTTATTTAACAGTGTCTGATAACTGACACTTCTTGAATTCTTGCATCAAAATGTCTGTATGCTGTTCAGGTGTGTATCTGTAAGCTGCAAACCTACGATGACGCAGCAGCAGCAAAACTGGAAGCAGAAGCAGAAGACAGCCAGTTCCACTGCGGGCCCAATAGAAGCCCTCTAGGGGCCTAATCCACATGTTTCACACCCCTGATTTAGGGGGTATTGGTAGGATGCCAGCTTAGGCAGCCATGAATATATAAGCTTGCATTCATGTAGGTATCCCAAATTGAGGTACGAGAGAGAGAGAGTGAGAGAGCGCACGTGTGCATGCTGAAAAACTTTGGAGCAGGATTGAAGATGTAACATTTCCAGAAAATTTAGGCCATGGGGGAAAAATTCTCTGGGAGGAAATGGAAAAGTACAAATGCCTTGGAGGTTTTCACAAGAAAATGTGTCAGTATGCCCAGTGCTACAGAGGCACAGGCACAATCTGCTGCATAATTATGTAGTAAACAAATTGGGGCATGTTGTTTGGACAGAAGTAGTCTCATATGGTCATATTGAAGCTAACAAGGCATATCGGGATTGTGAGTTAAACTTTATGACATTGAAGTATTCAGTAGGGTATTATCATACACACAGTTTATTAATTGTGGACAAAATTAATCACATTTAAACAATAAGAAAATCCTTGAAAATGTTTTATATGGTTATAGTAGATGCAAGAATTATAATTCTCTAATGTGGCCGATTGTCTTACATTAAAAATCTTTATTCCACACATTTTGAGTGAGTAAAACCTTGTCTTAAAAACTAATTCATTCCAAAAGAAATATTTCACAGATTTCTTTCAATTTCCAGTTTTTCTAATTTTTCTGTTGGAAAAACTAGGCCAGGGGGACACGCAACCCCCCCGGACCCCCCACCCCCCCCCCCCCCAGGGTGTCACATTTCTCGGCTTAGGAGCTGGTGTTGTCTAGGTGACAGAGAACGGCCTTGAAGTGGGATGTCTGCCGCTGAAGAGTTGCCTTTGCTGTGGAGTGAGCCTGTGATTGGGAGGGGGTGGGACCCTCCTCTCTCAACCTTTCTCTTCCAAACCTCATCAGCAGAACAACCTTTAAGACCGGTCAGTGCTGGAGTCCTCCCTGCTTCTCTTTGGGTATTAAGGAGAAAGGGGCTGGGACAGGCATCGAACTGGTAACTGCCAGCCTGAACTCTCCGTCTGATTCAAATATATTGGGAATGACAGAGAGGAACGAAGTTAATTCTTCATTTTTAAAACAGTAGCTGCCTTAAGAGACCTGTTATAACCTGGCCCGTAGTTACAGTGGGGGTATTGGGAGGAAGAAGAAGAGGAGGAGGAGGAGGAGATTGGATTTATACCCTGCCCTTCACTACCCGAAGGAGTCTCAGAGTTTCCCTTCCCCTCCCCACAACAGATGCCCTGTGAGGTAGGTGGGGCTGAGAGAGCTCTGAGAGAACTGCTTTTTTTAAAGGACAGCTGTGCCAGAGCTTGTGACTGACCCAAGGTCACATCAGCAGCCGCAAGTGGAGGAGTGGGGAATCAAACCCGGTTCTCCCAGATTAGAGTCCGCACACTTAACCATGACACCAAACTGGCCACAAGATTTCCTTCTGAAAATGGTAAGGGATTTCATTGCTTTAGGCAGGGGAAGGGTGGGGGATGTCTTTGCATTTCGTTTATATCTGGGGTGGCTGTTGTGGGGGGTGTTCGTGCTGCTTTTAGGTTATGATTAGTATTATTGTCTTTATTATTACATAAAAGTACAGTTGTTTAGAGGGAGACATAAAAATAATGGCAGCCCCATAAGAATATTTTTTTTTGCCCCACAAGCCACAAAATCCTGGCTTCAGGCCTGGTTCTACCCTGTGGGAGATAAATTAAATAAATAAATAGCAACAACAGTGATCCTTCATGCAGTACTGCTATGTTGAGGTCAAGCTCTTTTTGCAAATTGAAAGTGCTGTAGTAGATAGTGAATAGTTAAGAGCTTATAGAGGGCCTAAATCTCTGAATGGGGAAGCTTGAGTGTGTGTGCACACGTGTATGTGCATACATGCATTTGAAGACTCTGATCAGATGTAATATGAAACTCTGGCTTAGTTTAACTGTGGATAGTGTTTACAAGGATTCAGTGCACCGATGATCACTGAAATCCTGGCTTGCTTAATAAATACTGGCTTCATTGTTGCTTTGGAGATTGTCACCAGAGAACATCTGCATTCAGACATGCAAAACCATAGTGAAAGCTAATTGTAGTTGTGAAGAGATGATTTTTTTCTTTGGAGGTTTGAACTGAGCAAGACTTTCTCCTTGAGTTTCAAAAAGTTTTTTTTCTTCCTCTTGGCAGAGAACAGGCAGGAGGAGGGAAGTGAATTCATTGGTTTTCCAGCCTCACTTCTGCCATCATTTTAGAAATGCTAATAGATCTAGTGAGAGACAATGGGATGGTCAAGCTTCCCCCATCTAGCAGGGAACAGAGTTTTGGGGGAATTAAGTTCAGAAAAACTTCAGGAAAAATTTCCTGGTAACTTAAGGAAAGGTTTCTTTGACCTGCCTGACCTGGTCAGTGGGAGGGGAAAGAGAGGTGATAGTGAGTGAGAAAGAGGCTTCAAGGTGATAGAAACCCTTTAGAACATCTGTAACTTTCTAAGCTAAGGAGCCTACAGGGAGGGATAGAGGGAATTACATTTTACCCTTTTTTGACTCCCTTGTTCACCCTGGTGCTGTGCTGAGGATATGCTTGTGGACGTTTCCTTGCTAATAAATGCTTTATAACTTTTGATGCTGATAGTGGTTCTCTGTACCCCACCATCTTGGACACTGTATTTTTAAAAGGAGCATCAGGAGGAAGGGGAGGGTCAATCAGCTGGCAAATGGCTACTCCCCCAGCGGTGCATAAGGCAGTAAGCCATCCCCATAATAAGCAGATGTTAGTTAGTGGAAGACAAAGAGGCAGGGCCTCAGAACTGGGAACATAAGTTCTGGACCTCCCAGTGGACAATTCCTATGAAGGCCATGTGGTGGTGGCAGTTGAACAGAGAGGGAGAGAAGCCCCGCCAGGTGTTGGGAAACTCTTGGAGGGCTTGGTGGAATAGGGTCTTCAGGACAGAGCAGGACTGTTCTGCTACAGTAGTTAATAAATTAAGTTCAGATCCTGATTTGATGGGCCCTAAACACAGTTAGTGGAGCAGCCTGCATTTTGACAGCCACACTAACCATAGTTATCTTAAATAAACTTTTTTTTTTGAGTGGGGCAGTGTCTCAACTAAGGCTGTTAGTTGGAATTGCTCTTTTCCATGGAGGTAAAGTGATGTCTCGGTGTCTCTGTTCCTAGTCCATTTGCGTCCTTTTGAGTTCTGCTGAAAGGTTTTGCTGACTCTACTTTGACCTTGCTATGCTTTCTATCCCTACAGCTGGAGATTCAAAATACCAGCAGCCTGTCTGCAGATGGTGAGTTGAGTGCCACATGGCCTACTGGCATTGCAGCCGCGTTCCAACCAAAGACTCGGTTTGAGGTGCTGCGTTGGGATTACTTTACTGAAGAGGCAGCCTTTGCCTGTGTGGATGGAACTCCAAAGTGTGAGCTCCAAGGAGCAGATGCAGCTGACGTGGCAGATGTGGTTGCTGCAGCTATAGAAGAGCTGAACCACCGATACCAGCCGGTGCTACATGTGCGCAAGCAGCAGTTACTGAATGGGTACCGCCGCTTTGACCCTACACGAGGCATGGAGTACACGCTGGACTTGCAGCTGGAGATGGTGACTCAAAAGGGGTACAGCCGCTCACTGGCCAAGAGGGTACATCTGCTGCGCCCACTCAGTGAGGTTGAGATCATCCCTATGCCCTACGTCACTGAGGCTAGCCGAGTTAATGTCATCCTTCCACTAACTGCCCCAGAGCGGGACTATGCTGCACGCTTTCTAGAGGTCTATGCTACAGCAGCCTTTGAGAATGCTGAGAATGCTGTGCTCACATTTCTTTTCATCTATGATCCCTTTGAGGCTCAACAGGTGTCTCAGAATGATGTCTTTGGGGCAGTGAAAGCACGTATCGCAGAATATGAACGACGGTATACCCAAGTGAAGATCCCATGGATCAGTGTCAAGACAGATGCACCTTCCCAGATCAAGGTTATGGACATAATCTCCAAAAAGCACCCTGTAGACACGCTCTTCTTTGTGGCTGGTGTGAGCACAGAGGTCACAACAGAGTTCCTCAACCGCTGCCGCATGAACACCATCAATAGTTGGCAGGTCTTCTTCCCCATCCACTTTCAGGGCTACAATCCCACCATTGCTTTCCACAACCAACCCTCTCCTCTTTCTAGCTTGGACCTGGTCCGTGATGCTGGCCACTTTGACCGTGATGCTTTCAACGAAGCTTGCTTCTACAATGCAGACTACATGGCAGCCCGCACACGCATGGCATCTGATGTGCAGGATATTGAGGATATCTTGGAGACTATGGACACCTATGATCTGTTTGTCAAGTATTCTAACCTGCACGTCTTCCGTGCTGTAGAACCTGCCCTCCTCCAGCAGTACAGGCCACACAGCTGCAACCCCCGACTGAGTGAGGAGCAATATCACCGTTGCGTGCAGAGCAGCCTGGAGGGCCTGGGTTCCCGTGCCCAGCTGGCCATGGTGCTCTTTGAGCAGGAGCAAGGCAACAGCACGTGAGCCCTGGAAACAGAGGCCGGGGCCAGCCTGCTTCAACCTCCCCCTCTGCATTTGCTTCCTATAGTAGCAGAGGGGAGCTGAAAACGACTCTTCCAGCTTGGAACCCAGGTGTAGTTCTGACTGGCCTTATGGGCTGCATTGTGGACAGTAGATGTAAATGGGAATTGAGGCATTGGCTCTAGTCCCGTTTTCTCTCTTGCTCCGTTCCCTTAGCCTGGACTCAGGTCCTTCCTTCCCCTTTGCAGCAGGATTGGCAGCTGCAAGCGCCAGCTAAGGGGCAGGCAGGACCTGCCCTGAGACTTGCTTCCTTGAACTGCTCACTGCCACAGGTCCTGCCTTTGGGGTTCCTGGGCTCTTAGAGGGGCCTTCTGGAGAAGCAGCAGGAAGGGCTTGTGGGGTGGGCAGAAGGAGGCTCTGGGAAGTTGGATCCTGGGACAGGAAGGGGAATGAGAGAATTTCTTGCCTATAAGGAGCATTGCTCAGTCTTGTGGCTGCAGCTTGGTGCTAACTTAATGAACACTCCAGATCTGAGTATGAAATAACTCATTTTGGGGTGGGAAGACAGAGGGTTTCCTGTTGTTTTTGATTTGCTCTGAGACACTCCTTGGAAACCATGACCCAGGCTGTTTGGCCTCAGATTAGTAGTGGGGGTGGGGGTGGCACAGAACAGGCAAGAGCCTTCTGTAGGAGAGTCAAGCTGCCCCTGTTGCCAGGCTGGACCTGGCACTGTGGGAAAAATCATATCCCTGGTGCTGCCGCCCACATATGCCGCCTGCAGGGCTGAAGGTATGTGGGCAGTCTACCTTGCTGCCATGTGGAGTCTCCTAGAAGTCTTCAGCAGAATGTATTTTGTTGGTCAGCCTGGTGCTGTGACCGTGGAGCAGGGAAAACCCAGCATTGTGTGGTGGGGTGGACAATGGAGCATGGCTCTCCAGTGGGTTTATATTTAACATGAGATTGGTAGCTAAATTTTGTCTTACATTTTAATAAACTGAAGTGAAGAACAAGGTGTTTGGCTCTGATTTCTCAATGTGCAGACTCGATTTGGAGACAAATAGTGGGAGTTATATGTTAGAATTTGGGGAAAGCTGGTGTGGTATCCTAAAGAGTGAAAAACAAGCAGCTGTAGAATAAACCTCTTAGTTGTGCAGCCACATGTTGTAAATGTTAGAACAAATCTCTTATCTTGGATTACATACTGACCACTGCCTGCAAGTACGAGCTATGCCCCTTTCAAGTTATAAACTGTTTTAAAGTCCCAATGGAGCAAGAGTCTGCCACAGAAATTTGATAGTGCAACTGCTATACGATAAGTTGAAGATCAGTTTGGTGGCAGTGGGGATCCTTACAAAGGATCTGTGTAACTGGCTAGTAGAGAAATGAGAGGCAAGAGAGTTAGTGTGCTGAAGATCTTGAAAAGATAGCCAAAGAGCTAAGGACTTGAATCCCATGGAAAACTTCTACTACTGGGAGTTTCTCTGATTCCTCCCTTCCACTGCAGACCTCCAACTCCCCTTCATGCTGTTCCTGTTGTTGGAAAAATTTGCAAAAATACTTAGGTATTCAGAGTTTGCAATGGATCTTTGCTTCACTGGAGGCATTTCTTTCTGTGTAAAAATCTTTATTTCTAAGGGAAGGGTACACAGGAAAAGCTACAAAATAAAAGACCTAAGGCTACATCTCTACAGCTACAGAACAGACCGACCACACGGTCTCTCAACAACAACTGTAATGGAGATTCTTCTTCTTCTTGACCCTTAGAAGGAAATCACCTGAATACATTAATCAGTGATAGTGAGTAAACAGACTTAGCTTTCGTCTTTGTTTTCATTGGCTCTGAGCCAAGTTTCCCTTCCAGGTCAGTCTAAACAATAGCACACAAGGTAAATGGATTAACCCTATAATGACTGAATTAGACCTTGCAACACACACATATTTCCAACACCAGTTTGAACAACAGCATTCCCAGCAGTCTTCCCCCCTCTGTGTCCAGTGGCCTTGTACGAGTATGTTCCATGCTCTACAGAGCTACAGTAACCACTCCTTATTGGTCATCGGGAACTTCTAGCTTGGTCCTTTGGCATTAACACTTCCGCGTACGCTCAGTCAGCCCACATAAAGATGATGATTTCAGTAATTTTACTGTATTTTACTGACTCCTTATTGGTCATCGGGAACTTCTAGCCTGGTCCTTTGGCATTAACACTTCCACGTACGCTCAGTCAGCCCACATAAAGATGTTGATTTCAGTAATTTTACTGTATTTTACTCGTTTCAGTAAAATAAGTCTCTGAGAAAGGGATCAGAGTCTGTTTTAATCTTTTCAGATTTATATATTGAATTTAATTCTTCCCTTCTTTTCTCCCACCCACACTGTGATCTGTACAATGGGAATTTAATGACTGTGGCCCTGGATATTCTTCAAGCCATGCCAAGTTCTGGTACACACACATTAACAAGTCTGTCGGCCACTTATTGCAGTACATATGCCTGCTTAAAGTGATTTCATTAAGCACTATTATTCTAGTGTTGCTCATATTTACTGAACAATGAGCAAGAGATGAGAAGTTGTGCTTAATATCAAGGCAGTCATGGTGGCTCTGCCATGTGACCATCCTTTCTTAAGAAAAGCCAGATATTTCCCTCTGCAACTCTACATGCATCCTTGCAGTCCCAGGTGTAAGCCTCTGTGCCTGCTGTATTTCCCTCTGCCTAGTTTTTTGGGAAGGCCGACTGCGGGCCTCTTCAAACAAATTTAATTTCCTGTAAATCAGGAACCTTTTCCCCTAGATGTCTGAATTTTGACAGGGAACATTCCTTGACTGAGTTGTACAGTTCTGGAAAATGTCATCCCAGTTGGATGGAAAACAAGATGTAAAAACAAATGATAATTAGAAAATAAAAAAATATGGCACACACCTGTTCTTGGGCATGTTCTAGGGTGCTAAAAGAAGCACGGGAGCGCGATCTTACACTCCCCTGCGGCTCTGTTCTCCCTCCGTCAGCACCTGATCACACTGGGGAGGCAATGGCGTAGTCCCAGTGAGGCAACATGGTGGTCCCATGTTAGTGCACATGCACAGACTGCAGGTGGCTGCAGGATGCTGCGGGCTGCTAGCGCGTCCGCGGTCCCACGCCCGCCGTTGCTGAGGATCTTTTGGTTGGTACTCCATTTCCCCTAGTACCTTTTCGATCCGCATTTTCAGCCGGATGTGACAGGTTAGGGGCGGGTGTGCGACGCATGGGGTTGACACGGTAATGTTGTACAAAATAGTTTATGGCTTAACAAAATTTGGGAAAACATCACACTGCAAGCACTGAATTTACCTGTTTTTATGTGTTCATGTGTTTTATTGTTCTGTACTGCGGTGGCTCAAGTGGTTGAGACGTGAACTACAGGCTGTGGAAGGTCAGTAGTTCAGCAGTTCAAGACCCAAATGTGCCGCATGACAGAGTGAGCTCCTGTCTCTAGTTCCAGCTCCTGCCAACCTACCAGTTCGAAAGCAAGAAATTGCAAGTAGATAAATAGGTACCACATCAGTGGGAAGGTAACAGCATTCCGTGTGCCTTGGTGTTTAGTCATGCCGGCCACATGACCACGGAAATGTCTTTGGACAGCGCTGGCTCTTTGGCTTTGAAACGGAGATGAGCACCGCAACCCTAGAGTCGGATTCGACTGGCTTTTGAACAAGGGAACCTTTGAAAAAAATTAATAAAATGTTTATTTAAAGAAGAAGGGACAGTACTGCTGTAGCAAATATCTGTTTCTCAGCTTGCTCCAGGGCAGTTATAGTGTTCAGCTCCTTCTGGGGGAGGGGGTATGATGTGATTTTTTCCACCATTTAGCTCTATGCCAAGAAAAAATTCACCTGCTTAAATATTTTCATGTGAAATGCAGAAGAGGCAAAAGAGCATTGTAAGACATGTCCTTGTTACCTCTGCTGCATCCTTTTAAAGGCACAAAAATAGGGTCATTTTAAAAAAAAGGCATTCCCACAAATAGCTGCTGTCCAGTTGTTTAAGAAAAGAACAGAGGAACCAATAACCCAGCGACAAGCCCAATGGCTTTCAAGTTGTGTTCGTGGAGAAACCTAGCATTTTGTGGAAGAGCTTCAGAAGCCTGCTTCTCTTTTCCCTGTATGTGAATAAGTGCAGAAGAATTTCCCAGAAAGCCTGCCACCAAAAGCTTGGTTAACATGCTCCAGCCAGTCTTTCTGCTGCCAGAGGTGGCAGCAGAAAGCAAGCAAGCAAGCAATCCAGGGAGCAAATGGGGAGGGGAAAGACACACTAGTGGTCATGTTCATCAGGCAGTTTCATGGTAAAGGTAGAACTGATGAACTGAAAATGCTCCATGAATTCCCTCAGAGCCACTACCTTAGTGTCTGACTGGGAGTGTGTTCGTATCAGTACTGCCAGCCACAAAGCTCAGCAGGTGACTTTGGGCCAATTGCTTCATCTCAGCCTAACCTGCCTGACAGGATTATTATGGTAATAAAATTAGTGTCAGGTTCCACAGCCAACAACTGAGTACACGCTTATCAGAAAGGTTATACTTTATTGCAGAGCTATAGAGGCAGTAACAAAGTCACTGTTAAGAATGGCAGCGTTCCTACAAGCATAATGGGATATAGGGTATTCGTATGCACCCCCCCCTTTCCATAAGCCAATTAGTCTGGCTCCCGCGTGCGGGAGAAGGGTCCCCAGGCTGTTAGAGGCCGCAGCTAGGAACCGAAAGTGCTCCCACGATTCCAGGCATCCCAGACACTACACCAGCAACCTACAAGGTCATTGATAAGAAAGCAGTACAGAAGGAAAAGTAAAGAAGCAGCATCTGGCCCACAGAGCAAGAGAATGGATCCACACACACACCCATCATGGCAGCATAGCTGACATTCTGCCCCCTCGAAACGCAGCTTCTCTCGCCCAGCCTGGGAGATCTCCCGGTCAGTCCGGGAGAGGTCCCGGTTTATCCAGGAACTCCCGGTGGAATTTCCGCAACAGCCTAGGGGCCCTAATATTCCCTACTTCCACCCATTCGAGGTGCTGGGGTCCAAAATCAAGCCATTCCACCAAATAAAACAATTGTCCACGTTTCACTTTAGAGTCCAATATCTTGGAGATTTCATAATGTTCCTCACCCTCAATCATAATAGGAGGGGGTACAGGTTGTGATGGTCACCAGGGGCTCGACCCTGAATCCCGCTTCAGGAGTCTGAAATGAAATCCAGAATGGCAATTTCTCAAATAAGATCTAGATCCACTGCAACATCATTAATCACTCTTTTCACCTTGAAGTGACCAAGGTATTGCCAACCTAGTTTCCACTAGGATGTGTAACTAGGATGTAACTAGGCGCGGCAGTGCCTTAGCGAACGGAGCTGGAGCCACGCCGGAGCGTACCTGCGCGCCAGAGGGGCCTGCCGATCCACCACCGGAAGACCACAAGGAGAAGGAGGAAGTGAAAGCCGGAAAAAGCCAAGCTGACAAGCCGACCGGGAGGAAGAAGATCAACAAAGACCTCCACAGGGTGCCGGTAGGGCAGTCCCCATCCCCAGCATATGTGGCCATAGGTAGGGATAAGCGATTAACTATAAGCCACTCAGAGACCCCCTGGGGGTTCGAGCGGGGTAGAAAGTTGAAAGATAAATAAAAATAAAATGTAAGACTTTAATGTTTTTAGTTGACACATACACTGAATCTCCAGGCTGCAGAGCCCAACCCTCCACCCTTCTCTTGTCAGCCTGAGTCTTGTAAGCCTCCTTAGCCGCATTCAACGTTTTACAAAGGACGGGCCACGAGTCTTTATTTATTTATTTATTTTATTCAGTTTATACCCCGCCCTCCCCGCAATGCAGGCTCAGGGCTTTCAAACGTTGGCACCAGTGTGCAGCTTCCCCCGACCCCAAGTCACTTGGCCCCTCCAAAAAGGCCACCGGGGGACTGTCGTAGCCATATAAAGCCTTAAAGGGGGACAGTCCAGTGGACGAATGGCAAGTGTTGTTGTAACAAAATTCGGCTAGGGGTAGCCGCTCCACCCAATCATCTTGTTGATAATTGGTGAAACAGCGAAGATACTGCTCCAACATCTGATTAACCCGTTCCATTTGTCCGTCAGTCTCTGGGTGGTAAGCACTGCTCATGGCCCGTTCGACCCCCATGAGTTTCATAAGGTCCCCCCAAAAGCGGGAGACAAACTGGGCCCTCCTGTCGGATATCACCTTGGACGGGAGCATATGCAGGCGGGCCACGTGGAACATGAAGGCTTTGGCCAGGGCCTTCGCTGTGGGTAGGGACGTAAACGGGACAAAGTGAGCCTGTTTAGAAAATAAGTCCACAACCACCCAAATGACAGTCATAGATTTACTGGGAGGTAGGTCCGTAATAAAGTCCATGGAAATCACCTCCCAAGGCCGGCTAGGAGTCGGGTGTGGTTGCAGCAAGCCTGGGGGTTTCCCCGGCCAGGACTTACTCATGGCACAGACTTGGCATGACTTGACAAATGAAGATAAATCCTTCCGCATTTGCGGCCACCAGAATTGTCGCTGCATAAGCTGCAGGGACTTTACGAAGCCAGGATGTCCTGATAACTTAGAACCGTGCACAGCTTGCAAAACTTCCCCCCTGAGGGAGAGGGGTACCAGCAGTCATCAGATCTCAGCTGATCAACTGGTGTCTTGCAGTCCTTGGAGAATGAGTAGGATAAATACGCAGTGAATGAGAAAGCCCCACCTGCAGCTTTACTACCTCGAGATCCACTATACAAACTAGGCCAGAAAGTGTTCTAGAATCTGTCCCAGAATGCTCTGCAACACACACAGTAGAGCCATATAAACTGATGTGGAAAGCATTCTGTAGGGATGATAAGTTTGATGTGCATTGGTCATATCTGGTGAATGGACTTGAATGGAAGCTAACACAGACAGAGGGAGGAATTATGTAAATAATCTGCAAGTGATCCCATAGCAGACGTATCTTAACCCTCAAGGCTGACAGGGAAACCAGTAAGTATGACCTGAGATAAACTGAGGACTTGGGACCCATAACTTGTCCCTCGCAGGGAGAACAATGAACTGGAGAAGGGCCATTTTGAGTGGGGAAAGGTCCAAAGGGGAAAGGGTTATGCTTCTATTCCCTGTCTCCTTTGCCGCTTCCCAAGGCCGCTTTGAACAAAACCAGAGCCATGGTGGTGTAGTGGTTACAATGCTGGAACATTCCTGGGGAGATTCAGGTTGAAAAGCTACCTCAGGCTTGAAGCTCACTGAGCCTTGGGCCAATCACTGTCAGCCTAGCCTACCTCATAGGACTGTTGTGAAGATAAAAAAAGGAGAATGGATACACCTTGAACTCCTTGGAAGAAGGGCAGAATCAAAATATAGTAAATAAAAACTAGGGGACATATTTTGTTAGTGCCAAGACTTTCCATATGTTTGAATTGAATTGCTTATGTGGTACAAATCCAACTTGATCTACTGATATAGAGTACAGTCTAAAATATTATAAAACCATAAAACCGTTGGTTATGAACAATTAATTAAATCACATCTACTGATATATATTTGTTGATTATTTTCTTAAGCCTGCTTGAAAGAATTGTAGTAAATATTTTATAGTCACAATTCAATAATGTTATTGGCCTATAAGAAGCAGTTAAGGTTTGGTCTTTCCCTGGTTTGAAGAAAACTATCAGTTTTCCTTCCATCAAGTTTGTGATAACTTTTCCACTGTTTTAATTTCATTAATCGTATTCAATAAAGGTATATCTATAGTTTCATTAAATAATTTATAATATTCAGTTGTCAAACCATCTTCGCCTGGGCCTTTATTCTTTTTCAAGGCTTTTATTACTTCATGGGTTTCATTGATTGTAATATTAGCATCTAACCTTGTCTATCTTCAACTGATAATCTCAAAAGATTGACCTCCTTTAGAAAATTTTAAATATCTTTGTCATCTGAATTTTGTTAACAGTGGAGATTTTTATAAGCTACAAATTATTTCAATATATCTCCCATTTGTCTGGCGAAAGTTCCGTTCTGTCTTTTAATAGCTAATATAGTTTCTTCACCTTGTCTCTTTTTAACCCGGGCAGCCAGTAACTTCCCTGGTTTCCCACCTAACTCAAAATGTTTTTGTTTAACATGTATTAGGTTCTTTTGAATTTTTTCCAAATCTAAATTCAACAATTTATTTTTTTTCCTCTTTCAGAGCTAATCTGGCTTTAGTGTGTTTATAGATATTTTCTAGATATTTGATTTTTTTCAATGCAATCTTGTATTTTTTTCTTTTTCTTTTCCCCCCTTCTGTGCCAATATTAAACTTATACAGACTCCCCTTATATAAGCTTTGCTAGCTTTTCAGATGGAACTTTTAAGTACTTTATTGGTGATATTAATTTCAAAGAACATTTTCAATTCTTTTTGTAAGTATCCATTATCTCTTTATCTAGCAGTTTTATTCTAGCATAAACTTTTGCAGAGCAAAGCCTCTTGCTCAGATGAATGAGGTAGGTTCCAACTGTGTGTGTGCGTGCGTGTGTGCATAATAAATGTTGTAAACAATAGGGTCAAAGGTACCCTCTCTTAAGTGGCCAGATACTGTGTTATTTTGTTCAGATTCTCTTGTTGCCCATTGCTGGTGATACATTATGATAGTAGATTTGGATAGGAGAAAGGGTGATCTGTGCTCTGCTATGGGACTATATACCGCAGTGCAATTGAGCAATTTCAATCATGCCACCATAAGAGAGCACCTGGACATACTACATTTTAAATGTAATACTTCCCCTTTCCCAGGCAATCCAAGGAATTACAGTTTTGGGAGGGATGACTGGGGAATAGACAGAGTTTTCAACATTTCATCAAACTAAAAGTCCCAGAGTTATTTGGGGAAATATGTTAGAAAACCATCACATGTTCATACTTAGATATGCCCTCAGAATCCATTTTGATGGGATGTAGAACTATGTTATTAGTATTAAAATTCTAAAGAGAAAACTGCTGGATACCAAGACTGGAGGTTATGCTCTTTGATCTTAAACTCTTCCTCTTTAACCCTAGTTGCCCGGGTACTGCTTTTGCAGTGCAATTGAAAGTAAAACTGCATGGGGAATTTCAGACAGCCGATATATTCCGGTTTAGGAACTGTTCCCTAACGGTTTCTGGTCTGACAGGAATATATTTTCACTTTCAGGCAAAAACACTTCTGTCCCGTTAGGGAAGTGTTTCTTGAACCGTTTTACCTGCAAACTGCTTCCAAGCGGTCTCCACTATTCTATACTGTTTCTGAAGTGCCTAAGGGGGGCTGTGTAAAATGCCCCGTAGTGCTTCCTCCTGTGCCGCTTTATTTTCCTGCCCTTTTTCACCCGTGCAGGCGATCTCCATCCTTTTTTTTTTTGAACGTTCGTTTTATACCGCTATAGCGCTATGACACAACACCAAAACAGTGCAATAGAGACCCCATTGGAATGCCTGGACTCCACTGGGATACATGAGATGGCTACATCTGCCACCTGGATACCAGGACCTCATTGGACAGCACATTTTGGCAGGAAATCAGGGCATCAGTGATTGGTGTGACAGATGTTGCTAACCCTTCCATGCCCACTGTGAGTCAGGGGAAGGTGATGGGTTGTCAGGTTGCCAGCTGGGGAGAAGATGCTCATTGGACAGTAGGTTTAGGCGGGAGATCAGGGCATCAATGATTGGTGAAACAGATGTTGCTAACCCAGCCTGATGTGCATCCATCCATGCCAAGAGGTGATTGGCTGGGAAGTGACTGGACTTTACTTATGAATGCATGGTTCAGTAGTGACAGAAAATGCCTCTCTATATACCTATCATTGCTATGTTTACTATAAAGCTAAAAAGCAGGTTTTAGAGCCTCTTGAAAATGAGCTGTCGGTGGTTTCTGTTCATTCCTTCCTTCCTTTTTGGCCAGCACGTGGTATGTATCAGACTGAAACACTCAGATTTAAAAATCTGATCTTGTAAACACTTGGACCGATTCCCCACAAGCAGCTCTCCTGTTTTCCCCACTTGCATTGGTCAATTTCACACTATTGGCCGTGGGGCCGCATTTTGCGGCCCCACGGCCAATAGTGTGAAATTGACCAATGCAAGTGGGGGACACAGGAGAGCGAGGGCGGCACAGCTGCTTGTGTCAGTCTCTTCAAACGTTACTCGAAGCTGGGACAGAGAGTGTTGAGGACTGGACGGACGGAGGCACTATCTGGCAGGAGGAGAGATCTATGGTGCTTGCCAGTCACAGAAGCATCCGTGTTAGTGGTGAAGAATACCATGGAATACCTGAAATACCATGCAGGAGAGAGTTGCAGACATTAGCTGGACAGAGTCACCGACAACACTGCTGACCTGGCTGGAATTCTAATTTGTGCCTCTTTATTGTGAGATACTTGTACATTTGTAAAACAGCGACTCGCGCTCGGTACAGTTGTGAAGATGATAAGTCACGCCTGGGGGAATCCCTGGCAGAGCCCCACGCAGCCTGGAGGGCTGTACCCCCTGGAGCCCCACACATCTCCAGTGGGTAGGCAGTCAGGCTGGCTGTATCAGCTTCTTCATCCCACTACAGCAGCCAAATGCCTTTATGCTTGTGGCTTTCTGATGGGTACATACATGAGTCTGGTGTTGTAACTGATGGACAAGACGACGTGGGGCGGTATTTGCAGCATATTTCTCTAAGTGCCACATTCCTTCCTGAAATGTACCCCCAAGAGAACTTATTTATTTATTTATCCTTCGGCTTCTATCCCGCTCACCCCCTAGGGGCTCTGAGCGGCTTACAATTCTAATTCAAACAATCCTAATCTAGGGCCACATATGGGTAGGGGAGGTGAGAAGCCTACCAGGAACCCTTTTTCTGTTTTTGTAGGGAAGGTGAGAAGCCTACCAGGCAACCTTATTCTGTTGTAGCAGATCTTCTTGCGAGGGGACAGTCCGGCGGCGCAGCATAATTCCATAGGATTTCAGTGCTCCCATTATACCATGAAGATTCTTAAAGTTTTGATGGCACATACTAGGGGCCCTCTGGAATACTCTGACACCCCACAAACATAACACAAAGGTGGTTTGGACAGCTTTTGCTGTTGTACATTTACTCAAGAGTCCTACCACAAAGCTAGATGATTAACAACCTCCCTTCGCACATTTAGGAGGCATGACCATCCCCCTTCCCTTGGGAATTCATCCATGTTCCCGCAGGTGGTATGATGTCCACTCGCTGGGGTGTTAAATTGACAGGACAATTCTGTTATCGAGTGCTGTAACCTGGAGTCCTGGTTCTAGAGGACCAGGTAGAGCTGTAGAACCTCTGTGGTACCCTAAGGGACTCCAAAGCGTCCGACTCCTTTCTCACAGAGGTGGGGTGGTTGTGGCTTGGACCCTGAATCCCAATGAATGCTGCTGGAGGTGAAGGATGGGGAGAAGTGGTGGTGGGGAGAAGGCTGTACATCTGGGGAAAAGGTGTCCTGGGGAAACTCGGGCTTTGTTGCTGGCCAGCAGCCCCCTGCTGGGCTTGTCTCTCTGCACTTGGGCTGGAGGAAACCTGAGATTTGATGCCTATGTCAGTGCCCAGCACTACCAGCAGTTCTTGGTGACACCAGCAGGGGGCAGCTGGAGCAATGACACACTTGATGTCTGGCTAAAAACCACAGGCCTGAAACAGTTATATACAAATATACAGTTGTGAGGGCAGGATGACAGGTGGCCAGCCTTGGACTGATGGGGAAAGGCTAATGCCCATGTAGTAAGAGGGCACCGCCTGGAACCCCTTTCAAAGGGCAAGGTCTAGGGTCTTGAACCTCCTTGTGGGCACAGCAGACGCATGTGCAGCAGACAGCAACAAGTGGGCAGAAGTGAGCATGGCAACGGCCCAACTGCAGGCGATGGGACACAGAGCTTCTGTTCCGCCCTGACTCCTCTTGTGGACGTGTGCATAATACTGCCATGGCTGCAGTGTGTGTTTCTGAGAGGATGGGGTGTAAGAAGGGATTTTAACGTTGGAATGGGCAGTACAAAGTGAGAGGGATCAAACCGTGGCAGCGGCGGACTCTGCCATGCAGGGTTGTGAGCAGCTGGTTGGTTGGTGCTGCCATGTCGGCACGGGGCCTGGGATGGATTCCTGTCTCTCCTTTCCACGACTGCATCTTGCTGCCTGCCGTGCTCCATGTGCCCCTTGCCCTTCCTCCCACTTTGGAGCTGAGAAAAGGCGACTCTCCTGTCAGTGGATAGCGGTTTGGAGCCCCATCCACCTCCTGGACTCGGCAGCTGATGCTCTCTGTGTGCTTCAACAGGGGGGGGCACGGAGCCCCTAAGTGGCCGGGGGTAATGGGCGGGGCACAGCGGGAGGGGAAGAAGTGGGAGGAAGAGGATTAAAGCATCGTATGCCTTTTGGAAGCCGTGGGAAGTAGGAGAAGGTGGCTTGGCTTGGCTTGGCTTTGGCAGGCCTGTCGGCACAAGGTGGGATCCACTGGTCCTGAAGCTGCTCCGGAAGCACTGCTGCAACTTGAGGGAGCAGTGCACAAGCTGGCCTAGCAAGCGAAATCCTCGAAGACCCCCTGGGGCGAGTAGTGGTGGTGATGGCGATGGTTGGGCAGGAGGCCAGTGGGGTAAGTGCCCTCGGAGTGGCGAGCCAGCGTCTCACAGGGGCTCTGCAAAAGAAGGCACAGTCAGCACGCAATACCCACAACCATCCCCTTCCATCAGCAGCTCGGAGCCCCAGGGCCACTCTTACCACTGTCATAGCCCAAGGCAAGAAGACGTCCGTCCCCACCCCAGTCAGTTGTTTCCTCTGATGGCCGTGGGGAAAGTGGTTCCAGCACAGGGCTGGGTGTAAGCATCGTGCTCAAAAATATCCTAAAGAGACAAGGGAGCCCCATTCTAGAACAGCTACCCTATGGAACCCGTGTGCAGAGCGCATCCACAATATCACCTTAGGATCTATGTGGACGTTGCAGAAGACTCAGAGCTGCAGCTAATCCATGTCCCTTCCTTCCAATGTCTAATACATTGCAATGTATCATGTGCCATCTTTATTCTTCCAGTCATGCCAGCCATTAATGGATACTAACTGGTGGCAGAGTTATGAATAGTGTGATGTTGTTCAACAAGGTGTTACAAGGAAGGAGGAGGAAAGAGGCAGGGAAGGGGCAACTTCTAGCTGGACTGCTAGACATGCTTCTCTTCCAAAGTGGGACCAGTGCTAGTGATATTATGGCTCAAGGCAGCACATTTTACCACCCCTAAACTGCATCCCAGTTTTGCTGTTTCAAGGTCCAACTAGATGCGGTTCAAGGATTCCATGATTATATGTCAAGTAAAGGTAGTAATGAGGTCTATTGTTGACAGAAACTGGTGCACGTGGGTGGGGGGAGCTAACTATCCTTTCCCCTCCCTTACTTTGCTGTACTCTTTCCTTTAAGCAATTTTCTCCCAGCTTGGCACTGATACTGAAAGTGAGCTGGGATGGAAGAAAAATACTTAAACCACTGGTTGCCTCACTTCCACTCACTTGGCTGAGATATTCCATGTACTTCAGGATGTCAAGCTGTCTGTAGAGACATCTACTGGTTGCACGGAGAGAAGTTTTTTGACATTCTGCTCTTCCCAGGTCTGACCAGGCCAATTCAGATCAGGACCATGGCATATGGAGAGAGAGGGCTGAGATCTTTCCGCCCTGCCCTTTTCCCAACCTGTTTTCCCAATCTGTTTCAGGTTGGAGAACAGAGCCAAGTATAAAGTGTAGTTAGGCCACCTTTACATGCCTTTTTGTCTCGTTCTCTATCGTCCCTAAATGCCAGCAATACATAGTTCAGCTTGCAAATTTTTAGTTTAGAACAAAGATGACTAATGCATGATGTGGAGGAAATGGATAGGGGATGTTTTCTTCCTCTCCCAAAATACAATAACTTGGGGAAACCAATGAAATTAATGGGCAGTAGATTTAGGACAATTTTTTTTTAAAGCACTCCCTCATACAACACGCAATTAACTTGTGGATGAGGTGATAGCCACTATGAGACTGCACAAATTCATGGAGGAAAGGCTCAATTGGCTAAATTGGACCACAAAGTATGAAAGTGGTGTGCCTCCAAATGCCAGTTGCTAGGAGGGTAGCAGTGCAGGGTAAGGCATTGGCTTCTGTGCTTCTGCTGTTGTGCCTTCTAAGGCATCGGGTTACCTGTGTGGGAAAGAGGATGCTGGATTAGAGAGACAATTGGCCTTTGGTGTTCAGTGTTGGCTCATTCTCTTGAGTCTGCCCCACCTTCAACCTGCTGCCCCTTCCCTCTGCTAAATCAGCATCTTCCTTAAAGAGCTGGAAATGGGGGTGGGGGGGCACCCCATGCCACTCAATAGGACTGTGGAGGGAACTCATCTATGTCAAATGAGAACAAAACTCTCTGAATATAATCAATGGTAAAGGTGCGGTGGCTCAAGTGGTTAAGACACTGAACTGCAGGCTGTGGAAGGTCGGTAGTTCAGCAGTTCGAGACCCGAGTGTGCCGCATGACGGAGTGAGCTCCCGTCTCTAGTTCCAGCTCCTGCCAACCTAGCAGTTCGAAAGCAAGAAATTGCAAGTAGATAAATAGGTACCACTTTGGTGGGAAGGTAACAGCGTTCCGTGCGCCTCGGTGTTTAGTCATGCCGGCCACATGACCACAGAAACGTCTTCGGACAGCGCCGGCTCTTCAGCTTGGAAACGGAGATGAGAGTCGGACTCGACTGGCTTTCGAGCAAGGGAACCTTTACCTTTACTTTAAAGGTATAAAGGGGTTAGGAACATCTGGTGCTTTATGTAATCTAGTGCAGGAGATGAATAAAGCAAGCAGTGAAATGATAGCTCCTCAGTGCAAAACAACCCCATGGCTTGTTTCATATAATCAAATGCCAGAAGATCCTGTGCTCTCAGAAATCTTGCTTTGGAGTATTATTCAAAAAGCGAATTTTGTGGGAGATGAGACTGTCTATTCTCATTCATAATGGACTAGACAGATTATTAATATGCAAATAAAGTTAGTGGGAACAATTCATATTGACTAAGGTGTAATTTCATTGTTAATAAAAGGCGCCCGTCCTACCAATTTGGGGGTCCAAATAGTCTCAATTGGATTTTTTTTAAAGATATGGTTGAGGCTCACTTTAAACTGGTTGTTTAGATGTCTTGAGAATCCATCTCGGCCAGCAGAAATGCACAGCAGATTCCTCGTGTAAATGAAATTCCCTCTAGTAGTATGTTTACACTTTCCCCCATGAATCAGTCAAAAAAAGTTAGCGAAACCTGTTCTTCCTGCACATAAACTGTCTCATCGAAGTCCTTCTCATCAGCAAACTGCATTCCTTAGCCAGAAAGTCCAAGATTATCAAGATTAGCTTCTCCTATCAGTGTTAGCAGGGAGAAATATCCAAGCAAACATCCATAACAGGTCAGGTTCCCAGCCAGGAGACTTTGAGATCCTTAACATCACAACGCATTAGCAGTTATCATGTGGCGACCTCAGAGCCTGTGTACAGATGATAACGCTTCAACGACTCTTAAGGCCGAATATGGAAATGACGCTGCTGACACTACACAGGCTCATTTTCTTTTATACATAAACCCATTGACTAGCCATTTTCTTAAGTAAAAATATATGCATATATTGGTATCCTTTTATGTAGTGTAAGACCAGCTGCTTCCACACACAGTTCAAATCCTCACTGCACCCTGAAGGCCACTGGATGACCTTGGGCCAGGTAAGTTAATTTATCTCACAACATGGTTCTAAAGATAAGAGCTGGAAGAGAAGATTTCTCGCAACTATAATGTCCCAAGTGAAAAATGTGCTTCTGGCTTCTGCATTTTCAAAGAAGAATGCTCCCCCCCCCCACAGTTTTTCAGCTTCTCTATCCCAGTAATGTTGTGGTATTTTGGAACTTGTTTTGCATCCAACACTATCCAGGCCCCGGTCACTTGAGCGGGATAATCCGCAGGGGATGGGAGGCTTTTTGAGCCGGAGCAAAAAGACGCGTGGTAGCGCGATCTCACCTTCCCCCGAGGCTCCATGCCCAAGCCTCCGGCAGCTGATCACACCATGCTAAGCAACACAGCAGCAAGGCATGCATCGGATGCCAATGGGCGCTGGCTGCGACGGGCTTCCTGATCAGACATCCGCATGCACCGCGCATTATCGGGAAACTAGTACATGGTTCCCGGTAGCTTTTAAATCCGCGCCTTCGGGCCGAAGCTGCGGGTCAGAGACGGGAGTGCGATGTTTCCCAGATGTTCAGCTATGATCGTGCAGCTTTAATCCGCAGGCAAGCCGTCCCTCCCGCGGGGCAAATTTGCTGTGTGAACGGGCCCCCAGTCTCTTTGGCTCTGCAACATAGCCTATCTTCCATTTGAAGAGTCTGTAGACTGCAGACATTGACTTGGATCTTAGGACATTGTTCCCCCAGCTGCTGCGGAGGCTTTTTTCTACTGTGGTGATGGCTTCCTCTGCCACTAGCAATTCCAGGTGAGTAAGAACAATGTTTTTCAAGGAGCCCTTCTGCATACAGAAGTGCTAGCGGCAGAGGAAGTGAGTACCACAGAAGTGGAGGGTGGCTACTCGGCTGTTGGAGAGAAGCACGAGGGGGACCATATCATAATGTCCAAACCCGGGATCTTTTCACCCTCACTATTTTTTACTGCACATCAGTCTGTTGAAGCATCCTAGGAAACTCAAAATCTTGCTCTTTTGTGATACTTATATAACTGTTGTTCATTGTTGAGAGCTAGTGTGGTATAGTGCTTCAAGCGTTAGGTCAGGGAGACTCCTGTTTGAATCCCTATTTTGCTGTGGAAGCTCTCACTGGATCTCTCTCTCTCTCTTTCTTTCAGCCTAACCTATTTCACAAGGTGGTTGTTATGAAGATGAAATTGAGGAGAGGAGAATGATGTTGTAAACTAAGTCCCTATTGGGAGAAAAAAAGCAGGGTATAAATATCTAAAATAAACAATTCACCACATGTGCACTAAGAAGAAGAAGAAGAGAATGGATTTATACCCCGTCCTTCACTACCCAAAGGTGTCTCAGAGCGGCTGACAAATTCCTTCCCCTTCCCCTCCCCACAACAGACACCCTGTAAGGTAGGTGGGGCTGAGAGAGCTCTGTCAGAAACGGCTCTTTTTCAAGAACAGCTCTTATCAGAACTACGGCTTGCCCAAGGTCATCCAGCCATGTGCAAGTGGAGGAGTGGGGAATCAAACCCGGTTCTCCCAGGTTAGAGTCCTCACACTCAAACACTACACCAAACTGGTTACATTATACTACACTATACACTACACTACACTATACTACACTAAGTGTATTGAGCTGAGAACTTTATCCACTGATACATAAAAGATTGTAATCTGCTTTTAATATTTAAACGTTTTATTTTAACGTTTTATCTGCTGCTATATAAAAGTATTCCACAGTGTATTTTGACGTTATTTATGATCATATTATTGTATTTGTTTTAGTTCTGCAAATTATGTCACTGTTTTATCTTGCTACTGTATATTGGTGTATTTTATATATTTTTTTAAAAAATGACTTATTTTGATTTATGTTAACTGTCTTGGACACTTTTTTTTGGAAAGGCAAGGTATTAAAGTCTTGCATGAATAAATGATAAATGGCCAATGGCT